TTTGCTGTGTATAACTGCGGATTAGGGGCTGTTGGCGAGTCTGTCGTGATTTGTGATTTTCGGGATCCAGCTGGGCGCGTTTTCAAAGATCAGCCGAGCGTCCGGATTCAGTTTGAAGAGACTGAGTGAGAGTCTTGATTGTGAATGTAAATGCCAGAGCCGCGGTCCCATTTCCACACTCTTCTCTGCTTTGATCACACATCTCATCTTCATACTGCCAGTGAACTTCATTTGATATAGCAATTTTCTCTCTCTCTCTCTGTCCCCTCTCTCTCTCTCTCTCCTTATACCCTTGTTCTGTAATATCTGTTCATTCTTTCATTATTCTCGCTCCGTAGCTGGTTAGGCTGAGGCGAGTCACAGCCTGATCTGAGTTTCCAACATATTTGTATGACACCTTTTCTAAACTGTCCTCAGCCAGTCCTGCTTTCATGGAAAGTCCTTTCAGTGGTGCTGTTTTCAGTAATCCTTCAGTTTTATTGTAGATACAGGTATAAAATGTTGCTAATATTCTATAGGTTTCAAACAGTCCTGTAAGAAGCTGTAAAATGTATGACATTTTCAATGATAAACTGACTTATAATAACCAAGAAAGCTGTGTAGCATTGAAAATGAACTAATAATAAAACGGGCAAAATGCAACTTAACATAAAAATGATATGAATGAGAAATGTATTATTACTATATTATATACTTATGGAATTGAATTTAAAGTGCCTTATTAACTGTTTTGTCTTCTCTCTCTCTCTCTCTCTCTCTCTCTCTCTCTCTCTCTCTCTCATTATACCCTTATTGTATATGTTCATTCTGTCATTGTTTCTGCTCTACAGCTGGTAAGGCTAAGCCAGGTCACAGCCTAATATGAATTCCCAGCATGAATTCCTTTGACTACAATGAGTGGTGAACAGTGTGAACATACTGGCTACTGCATTTAAATCCATGTGTCAAAAATGCATCACTGAGGTGGACCCAGCATCCCATGACGAAGTCTTAATTGGAGCGATTTTCTATAGCACTGTCATATTGCAGTACTACTTTTAACCCCTGAAATGGCCAGGGCCCACCAGCAGGCCCAAAGTTTCATTATACACTTCTAAAACCAAAGAATAGCTCAGCCAGTTTGCATTGAAGTCCCTGTAGCTAATGAATAATAAGTCATATTTTTAAGGATTTTAAGGGGTTAATTCAGTTTGTTACCTTTTGTTACATTATGTTAGTCAGTGGTGTACAGTAAGTGCATTATTTTAGAATATTATTTCATCGCAGTACGTTTAACAGTAAAATGTCCCATTTTTACAGAGTTTACCAGTTTTTATGTATTAGGATCATTCTACTGAATTGGTTTAAAGTTGAAAAACCATTTCAGACATTAATTAATTCGGACTTTAAAATCGTTTTGCTTTATTTATCCTTTTACTTTGATTATGTTTATTTTTTTACATAAATGATTTTGTCACTTAAAAACAATCATAACACTACCGAAACATTACCAGATGTTTTGGTTATGACAATTTTAGCTAATTTTGCCAGTATATGACTAGCAAACATAGCTTTGTACAGTAAAAAAACAAAATCACACATAAGATCTTTATCATTAAAACACAAAAAAGTAAACATAGTTGTAGAGAATATGTGTTTTTAATGTTCACACTGATTATCAGACTTTGGGACACATTTACAATGGAATTTAACTGCTCACCATGTAGCCATGAGGGACAGGGATGCAGTCTCAATTCCTGCTCTAAAATGCAGGGGTGTAGCTAAAATGAGGCTCCGCCTACAGCCTAAATTCTGTGTTTCGATAGTGACATGAAAACATGGGACAGCATTTTTAGAATAAAGTTTTTTTATTTATTTAAAAATGAAACTCATCATGAATCTCAATCTTTCAACTTCAAAACAACATTAAATAAAAGTATTATTTTCACAAGTAGAAATGTAAGAGTTACGGTTTGGAACAGGCACTTCCCAAGAAAAAGTATTTTGCATATATTTAGCAGATTGCTATCTCAGTAATGGCATAATGAGTGAATATCTAAGCTCTGAATACTTTGTTTAGTTTTTTTATGGGACTAAAAAAATGGGACTGCGGTTTGATCTAATTCAGTAGAATAGAATGGTCTAATATACCAATGAATATGATGCACTTTCAAAAATAAATCAAAGTTTTTCCCATTTTCTAAACTGAGGGCTCAAAAGGAGAATTTTTTAAAATATCTCACAATTCTTTTACTTTTGATGCTTAAATACATTGAAAACATTAAATTTTGTTCTTTAACCCAAGTAGAACATCTTTATATCTAATATATACATACTTCTACTAATGTAGAGTAATGTCTTATCAAAGCTATCTATACCTTCACTCATTGCATTTTGTGTACTTTGTTCACTACTGGTTACAGTACATGTAATTTGTTGCTGTACAGTGTGCTGTATGCCAAATACTGTGCAGACGTTTTATTTATAAAGATGTGTATGAGTGAAAGAACACCATATAGTTGTCTTTGTGATTGTGACATACGCCCACCAGCTGCTTTATTAGAAACCCATTTCTTGTAGCTCCATCTTGCTGGTGTGCAGTTAGAGACTGTAGCTCATCTGTTGATGCACCGTTTGAGTTGACACTTCCTAAATGGTCAGTTTCTGACCACAGAGCCACTCATAGCTGGATATTTTGGAATGGTGGTCCACATTTTAACCTAGCAGTGACACTGACATGTGAAAAAACTCCAGCAGGAAGGCATTTCCACTAATGTGGCCAGTGAGTGGAAGAACAAGGTTGGTGTTTCTAATAAAGTGGCCAGTGAGTAGAAGAACAAGGTTGGTGTTTCTAATAAAGTAGCCAGTGAGTAGAAGTACAAGGTTGGTGTTTCTAATAAAGTGGTCGGTTAGTGGAAGTAGAAGTTTGGTGTTTTTAATAAAGTGACCGGTGAGTGGTAGCACAAGGTAGGTGTTTCTAATAAAGTGGCCAGTGAGTAGAAGAACAAGGTAGGTGTTTTTTAATAAAGTGACCGGTGAGTGGAAGCACAAGGTAGCTGTTTCTAATAAAGTGACCAGTGAGTGGAAGCACAAGATAGGTGTTTCTAATAAAGTGGCCAATGAGTAGAAGTACAAGGAAGGTGTTTCTAAAAAAGTGTCCAGTTAGTGGAAGTACAGTGTTGGTGTTTCTAATAAAGTGGCCAATTAGTGGAAGGACAGGGTAGGGGTTTCTAATAAAGTGGCCAGTGAGTTTTCTTAATCAGTAAGAAAATTCACTCAAATATTCAAATTAATCACTGGAACATTCTGTGGTGTCTACCAGTGCTTTTGGGAAGGTGCTTTTGTTCCACCCACCCATCCGCCATACATACATCGGCTTGTAATGTTTGATTGGACCAGAGAATGTTTATATCACATATTGGGTAAAAAAAAATAGGACTTTTCTCAAAATTACCTGGAGCAGGTGTTTCTAATATAGTGGCCAATGAGTGTTCTTCTTTCAATAAAGCCTGATTCTGATTCTGATTTTGAATCTGAATAAAAAACAAAATAAAGACTGGTCAGGTTTTCCATAGCAAGTTCACTTCTGTATTATCAGGCAGTTCCAGACTACTGTAGCTGCTGGAGGAAAACAGTAGGTCACACAGGGACACTTTTCCTCTCCAAACCAATTTATTACTTGGTGTGTGCACATGTGTATTAAGCTCCTTCAGGGGACTGAATCCCCCCAGGATGATGAAAACATGAATGTTATGTGGTTGTGGGGACATTTGGCTTCTCTCCACAAGGAAGAAAAAGTAAACTAGGCCAAATCTGACTGTCTTATCCCGATGTATTTGTCCATATAACATCCATATGTGCCAAAACACATGCAATATGTGCAGTCAGTGAATATTTGCCAAAAATAAATGAAAGCGAATAGCTGCCAATTACCATTATGCAAATGACATCAGCCTAATTTGCAACTATTAGATTCCATTCATTGTTAGCGATATTAGCCTGTTTGGTTGCGCTTTCCTTTTAATTAGCCTGTGTGTGTATCTGCTCTATTAGTGCAGTACTGCATGGGCATTTCAGTAGCAGCAAAGCAATGGAGTAAATAATGTGGATGCAATTCAAGATAGCTTTATTGGCATGACTGTAAGGAGTTCAGAGTTGCCAAAAGTTTAAAGCTGAACATGCTCTGTAGAAGCAACAGCAGCAATAGAGTTAATAGCAATAATAATAATGATTATAAATCATCTCACATGCCATAACTGGGAGAAATCCAATCTGATAATGCATTCTGCATGATCAAATGGTTAAGATGTAAACAAAGTCATTCAAAGTGGTTTGCTACTGGAGAAACCTAAGGATCAGAATTGTTCACAGTGGTGGTCTTAGGACCCAGACGAGTTCACAGACAGATCAATAGCTAATATGAATATGGTGGACAACAACTCAAGAAGTCAGGGGCCTCATAAGGCTGCGTACTCAAAAACAAGGCTTCATCTCAAAACAATAAAGATAATAATGGATGTACTAGGTGTCAGCAGTGTAATTACACCCACATAGTATTCAATCATATTTGTGACTCTAAATCATCTTATTTTACAGTAAATACAGATAAACAGATACTCTTGTAATAAACACCCTCTGTGTTTATTATGACAGCGATAAATAGATATAAGATGACTGAAAAGAAGTTATAAATAGCCAGACTGAAGTATGATCCTTCCTTTTGTTAGTTGATGCAATTATTCATACAACATCAATAAGCAAAATATTACCCAAAGAAAATGTACTTTTTAAGATTTACTATTTTACTATCATCAACATCACATATAAAAACTCATGTTTAGTGTAGGTTCAGTGGTGATTTTGGATAGATTCAGTAACTTTTATATACAATGCATCATCACATCCAACAATTATGAATGACATTGTTTACATCTCATGATCAGTCATGGTGGACCGATGGTTATGAATGATTCTGAAGCTTTTTTTTTTACACTAAAATATTTTGTATTTTCTTTTTTTAGATCCTGACTTTAAAGACATGGGCGTCCCCAAGCCTCTTCCTTGTACGTATCCTTTATTATTATTCTCCTCTAAAATCTCCACAGCTCAGTCCATACAGTGTGCCTTTCATCTCTGCTAACATTCTGTCTCTCTCTCTCTCTCTCTCTGTAGTTTGTGAGTTTGAAATGGGTGGGTCTGAAGGCATCATCGAATCACAGCAAATCTCCAAAGATGGTAAAGCATCTCAGACGGAGGCAGTGGACTGCAAATGGTTCATCAGAGCACCCCCTCGCTCTAAGGTGACATGTAACTTTTTTTTTGGGGGGGGTGGAGGTTACTCAGCTTTCTCCCCCATTTTAGTCATGTCCAATTCCACCCGCTAGCTAGGTTTCCCTCTATCGCATGATGCCAGGCTGGGAAGGTAAAAGCTGGCTTTTCAAGCTACTGCTAATGCAAGATCATTGGAGGAGACTGTTGACATTAGCTAATGCACACCTGTTGGCATTATATGGCTAGCATTATATATAGGTATGGGGAAGAGGGAGGATCTCGGACGGCTGTGGCATTGCTGGAGATTGATTATCAGACAACAGGGCCATCTACCTTTTTTACTGTTAATGCTATAATTGTGAAAGCGATTGTTTGGTCTAAAATCAACACAGTTTTGTTGTCAATCAGCTACACATTACAGTACTAACACTTGCCTGCGGCGGAAGGAGAGGAGGGAACAGCGAGGAGTAGATAAATCAAACAGAGTGCAGTGTGCTGATTCCTAGCAATGCAAACCTTTGAGGAATTTAAACATTAATGTACATAAAATTTGAATAATCATTTTGTCTGCCTGAAGAACCAAGATTTAGTGCCATTCTTATTGATGCTGTCAGCCGTATAGCCTTTAGCTTACTAACTAACCAGCTAGCAGTGATGAACTTGAGTCAGCAGTCATGTATAAGAGATGGTGTAGATGTTGTAAATGTTATGGTTTTGAAATATTAAGTATTCGTTACTATGGTTTATAAACAGATTTGTCTGCCATTTTGGGGGATTTAAAATGGAAAATACATCAGTTCACAATCATTTCTGGGCAAGTTCTACAACACTTGTGTTTACTTGATCCATTGCCCCTTTGATGGCTCATCTAATTAACTTCACTTGAGCTAATAAACCAGAGCAGCCCATTGGATGATATCAGAGATTCCTGGAAATAATGAGGCTAAGAGGATGAGTGCATGTTAAAACTGGTACTGGTATTGAAACAGATGATAGAGCTACAAAACTCATGTTGGTAACAGGTAATGGAAGCTTATACCACCAATTAGCATGGTGCTAATGTCTAAATCATCACACAATTGTCTCAAACTGTGTGGAGTTGTTAAGTAGTCTCTAATAGATGTGCTTATGTGGTTGCAGACACTGAACGACACACTGTTCTCTATAAACATGGAATTGCAGGTAGCAGTGTTATTTGGTAAGCTTCTATTATTTGTTAGCTACATTAGCCTCATAGCTCCATCATAAAACTAAAGAAGGAAACTTCAAACACCAGATTTGGTGTCTTGGCTGGTCATTTTCATTTGTAAATCTGAATTTTGGCCAAACCATCACTTCAAGTATGACAGTAACAACAAAAACAGCAGCAACAATAATAATAGTGACCTTGACAAGGTAGTAACATACAGAACAATATGTGAGGGAACCAGATGGGATGTTAATTAATGTGTGTGACTGGGTGTGTCTATGATAATATAAACACTGCTGTTTTTCCCAAGTGGTTGAATCCCTTCATAATACATTATTCTCTCTAGGAGTCTCGTTATATTAGAATTTTCAGCAGCTTTAAAGTCAGTGTGAAATCATCTCCTTCCGTATTGTGACGTATTTGTTAGTAAGATGTATTCTCTCCATGATAGGTAATGAAACATGCTGTTATTCGTTAAAGATGCAGTATGTAAGATTTGTTTGTTAAAATTGAAAGAATGACACAGAAAGCTGGTGATCTAGCAGTTTATCCTACCGAATATGGGGTACTATCATTAGTACAACGTAGTGAACATTTTATTGTGTTTTTAATGTTAATTCAGTACAGAGTTTAATATTACTGATTACTACCCCTGATAAAGTGATTTAGGCTTAAAGCCTTTATGTAGGCAACTGTCTATAAATATGTGCTATGGTAGGACATTTCAACAAGGTACCAGCAAGCTAAAAGGGAGACAGATAGAGCTTGAGCTTTTCAGAGGTGGAGACAACAAAGTGACCTGAAGGGGCTCAGGAGTGATGCTGAATTGGCTTATTTATTTCCAGTGCTTCTGTCTGTCTCCTTTTGTAAACGCAATCAATATAAAATATACTTGGCTAACATTGGCAAATAGATGTCTGACTGAGTGGAGGCTTACATAACTAATAGATTCATGTGCTACACAGCTGTCGTATGAATAGTAATGTTAGCTAGCAGTCAGTCCTCTGTGGTGAAGCAGGTAACATATCCATATTTTTCCCCTCAGCTGTTTTTGCACATTTCATGCAGTTGCATATTTCCACCAGAGAGGTCGCCAATTCCCTAAATTAACCACTTTCACGGTGATTTACCAATCAGGAGACGTTTTAGAGGCGGGGGAAAAATCATTACATGTTGATGGAACATTATAGGGAATCAAGAATTTAGTCTTTTAAATGGTATAAAATGATGAATCAGGAGCATGAACTAACAAGGTGAAAAAAGGGTCCCTTTTGATTTCAAGTTGACTCTAAGCTGTGCAGTTGCTTGCTAACTTGATACAGAGGTCAACTTTGCCACAAATGGCTAACGTTAGTTAACTAGCAGACTGAGGAACAATTCCTCCATTTAGTTGTTTTTGTTTTGTTTTTTTTTAAAAAAGTATCACCTAGCTTTTGTTTTGTGTTAGCTCATGCTTCCAAGCTTCCCAAATATGTGCAGTTACAGTTCACGTAGATAACCTTAGCACAAAGTGAGCTTAGCTTTTACTAAAGTTAATTCCTTTTTCGTATTCCTGCATCCTTTCCCATTCAAGTGTTTTGCCTTTTTGCCATGCAAATTTTACTTGCATTTGGTGTGACAATGGCTTAAGGCAAATAAAGTAAACGTAACTGCAAAAAATACTGTTTTGGCACATGAAAACGTCTTGAAGTTAGTCAATATGTCTAATATTTCATATTAGGGGATTGTTATAAGAATATTAAAAGGTCATTTAACTAGATGTTTTGTACTAAATCCCCAAGAACCCTAAATCCATGTTTTCTTTTAGGTGGGTTAATCTTACTCTTCTGGGCTCGCAATATACGTGTACAAAGTACATCCCTGTAAATAACTGCCTTACGCCTATTAAGTGGGCAGTGAGTTTTGCCAGCAGTCTCTCGCTGGGTGGTCCTAATTTTGGGGAGTATGTATGTTAGCTGGGTCCCCACCAATCACAAGGCTGAGGTGGTTTGTCCCACCCACACAGCTTTAACAAAACTGTATTAACTTTCGGTCTTGTTCTCTCCATTCTAGTCTGAGAAGCCTAAGATAAGCTAACCTAGCACAGATAAGTGAGCTAGCAAGTACATCTATTTGACCATTTGTCCAGTCAAATGGCCACACCAGCAGTCCCAGGATGCAGATCCAGCAGTAAAGTAAACAAGAACCTCCACATAAAATCTGGATACTATTTTTAGTGGGTGAACACAGCAGGGTCTACAACACCACATAATACTTTTATTTATTTATTTATTTATTTATTTATGTAATTTATTAATTTTGATAATTTAAAGAAATAATGCTTGAAACATGCAAAATTATTTCTGACTGCTGGATAAACACTAAATCACCAAACTAGGCGATCCATAACTTGCCCAAGCACGTTTGACCCCCAAAGTCTAGTTTGTTTGACTAGTGTGGTCGCTCTGTACCACTTGAAGAGGTGGGCTCGGTCATGGTTTAGTTGAACTTGGGCACAGTATGCGTCTAGTGTGTTTGCTAACCATGCCCGAGAACAGAACTCAAACATGACTGTCACACTTTTCAATTCATTTGAGAATATTTGGGCTAATAATGTGTCTGGTTCTCACCTTATTGAAGAACAGGAATTGTAATCAGCAACTAAAGCTGCTCCTCCCTCAACATAAGCTGTCTCCATAAAAATCATATGCATTGCATAATCAATAAATCTATAAGGCATTTGATAGGAATGTGTATCAGACCAAAACGACTCCAAATAAGCCACAAAGTAAGTACAATCATGAACTACATTGCGCTGTGTGAGAGCACTTTTTTTTTCAACACAAAAAGTCACATCGTGATGACGTAAGCATGCTCGGGCCTGGATCTTTAAGCACTATGTGAGCGCAGTGGGGAGGGGGCACAGTCATGCTGGGGCATGCAACAAGGCAGCCGGGCATAGTGTGGTAGTACTAAGAGACTTTCACTAGATAGAATGATTTAAGGGGCCCATATCTTGGAAAACAATTTTTTTCTAGGTTTTTGAAATAAAAAAGAGTTTAAAATAGTGTGCGATCACTTGTGACATTTCAAAATGTACCATTCACTCTTTAGATCATACAACCCATATATTGACAATAAGCTTCAAAAAGAGCCCACCTTGAATTTATCATTTTAGTGATGTCACAAAAACCAGTGCATTTAAATACATCCACCTAATCAGCCCACAGTAGTTTAGCTCTGTTCATTCACGCTGAAGTTATAAGGAGTTTTTCAGCCTGAACTGCTATTTAAATTAGGTACAATACAGGATAGCCAATCAGAACAGAGCTCATACATATATCAGTCTTAAAGGCACAACAACAAAATCAGCCTGATTAATTCTAAGAGCAGAAAACAAGTTGGAACACCATCATGTAAAAATGAGTTCCAACTGTTTTGGCAAATAAAGCCACACTGTTAAAAGTGGAGCTCGCTGAAAAAAGGAAAATGGAGGGTATATTTTAATATAGTTTCACTTGTGAAGTTTTTTGGATTTTTTGCAGTGCAAGAGTGGATTTGTTCACAAAACAGATATTTCAGTTGTGAAAAAAGAGTATTTTTCCTGAGTCACAGTGGTTTTTTGGTCACTGCATAATTCCATATGTGTTATTACATAGTCCTGATGTTTCTAAAATGTACATTTAAATGCTTCTAAACAATTTTAAATGTGGAAAATAAAGTAAACCTGTGTAGGTGGATCCAAAGTGTTGTACGTCTATGATTGCGGATGTAGTTTTTTGCAGCAGGATAGCAGCACTCCTGTAGGGTCATTATTCATATCATGGTGGATGAGAGAGGGAGAGAGAAAGAGTTCAGAGG